AGCTTTGCTGTTCTTGAGGAGTATCTTTTTAAAAAACAAAAATTACAATATGTTTTCCTGTGTTAAACTTTGTTTACCCATTATGGCACCACCCCAGCCCTTGGGGTTAAGATTTGAACAAACTTGAATCTACACTACCTAAGGATGCTTTCATATATATATAACTATGACAAATTATGGTTTTGCTCTTCTTGAGAAGATTTTTAAAGATTTTTCCTGTTTTCCTATGTTTAACTTTGATCCCCCATTATGGCCGTACACCTTGCAGTCCTGATTTGAACAAACTTAAATCTACCATATGATGCTTCAATATAACTATAACCTACCATGGCTTTGCTGTTCTTAAGAAGAATATTTTTGGCCCCATTCTACCCCTAAGGGTTATGATTTGAGGAAACTTTAATCTACACTACCTGAGGATGTTTCCATGATATGAGTTTCATATTTCTTTGCCCAGTGGTTCTTGAGAAGATTTTAAATGATGTCAATAATTTTTCACTAATTCCGGATTATTTCCCCTTGGAAGGAGAGTGGTCCTTCATTTAAATAAACTTGAATCCTCTTCACCCAAGGATACTTTGCAGTGGTTCTTGAGAAGAAGATGAAAATGTTAAAAGTTGACAACGACAGCCAATGACGAAAACGACAGACAGCGGACAAATTTTGGCCAGGTAAGCTAAAATTATTTTACCTTTAAATTGAAAAAAAAAATGTTTAAAATAAAATAGATATAAGGGGATGATTAATATAAAATTAATGATTTTTTAATGTTAACGATATAAAGAGTTTTGAATTTCTTATCCCTACCTAAAGAAATGATTTGTCCTGTACAGATCACCATTCCTAGCAAAGTAAGGTTCATATTTATGCATCATTGCATGTTTAAACCCCTGTCACACCGGGGCTGCGTCCTCACGGCGACTGCACGGCGTCCTCAAAAAATGCAAAACGCCGAGGTGATCGCAGTAGAGTCTCCTACAGCGCCGTGACAACGCGGCGAGATCTCCACTGAACGCCGTAGGGTCGCGTAGGGTTTCCTAGAACGCCAGAGGACGGCGATCACTTTGGGCATGCACAAAGTACGCGCCGTGTGATCGCGGTCTGATAAGAACGCAGTATAAACGTAGTATGATCGCCGTAGCAGCGCGGTGAGATCTCCAACAACGTAGTGGGAGCTCCGTACGAACGCAGTGAAGACGCACATGATCGCGGCACGAACGCAGTGATAGTAGACTGCGCTTCCACGGAGATGTCGCGGAGTCCTTGGAGATGTCACTGCGTTTCTATCTCGTTTTTACGGCGCTTCTAATGAGATTTATCGTCTTGTGATTTTTTCGACTGCGATTACACGGCAACAGCACGGAGTTGTCACTGCGATCATTGCGCTCCCATGGCGTTTCTACAGCGTCCGTTTGCGATCACAATGCGCTTTCACGGCGTTGTTAGAGCGTTGTCAGCCAGCTCACAAAACAAGAGCAATGGGATCATATTTGATCAGCAATAATTCCAACGTATTTGTTGCACTAGAGCATTTAAGTGAAAAAAAAAATGGAAGAGAAAATTACACCAGAACTTGTTCTGTTGTTTCACTTAAATTTTGTAGAAAACTTTTCAGTGTGTTTATTTTTTTTTTTTAGGAAACCCTACGCGACCCTACGGCGTTCAGTGGAGATCTCGCCGCGTTGTCACGGCGCTGTAGGAGACTCTACTGCGATCACCTCGGCGTTTTGCATTTTTTGAGGACGCCGTGCAGTCGCCGTGAGGACGCAGCCCCGGTGTGACAGGGGTTTAACGGCGTTCAGTGGAGATCTCACCGCGCTGTCACGGCGCTGTAGGAGACTCTACTGCGATCACCTCGGCGTTTTCCATTTTTTGAGGACGCCGTGCAGTCGCCGTGAGGACGCAGCCCCGGTTTGACAGGGGTTTAATGACTCCGTGTGAACGCTGCTTGGTGTGACAGGGCCTTTATAAAGAAGCTTCTTTTAAAAAACAAACTTGACAACAAAATTACACTTTGCTCTACTTAATCAACTATTTGGGCATCCTACTAATGTAGATAATGGATTTAATTACGTGGATTAAAGGCTACACTAAAACTCTTGAAAAATCCTTTAAAATGTGTATCTCTCATAAATAAATAGGTCGATTAAAGGATAAGGATTTCATTAAATAAGTCTATTGAAATGTGTTTCTCTCATAATGTCGACCTTTTTTAACAAACCGAAAAAACGTTGTGGTTACAAGGCATCGTAGTTCTTAGCAGCCGTATACTCTAACATTAAATCCTCTGGGAAATCTACATTTTATCGCTTCATTACTGAAGCCGCTTTATAAGGAGATTTGTCTATAGATTGCTCTTGTTTTATGTCTATGTGGAGTCAAAGATCTAACTTAAATACGATTGCAACGCTAAGACTGACTAATATGAGACGACATTTTCACAAATAAAAACGGAAAGAAAACATGACCTCTCTTGGGTATTAAGAATCACTTATATTTGGACAAATATTCCAATTTTCGCTGAAAATCCTTGATTACGAAGTGTATATATTCCATCCTTGATTATGAAGTGTATATATTCCTTTTGCATATATCAAAATGGGTGAATGATTTATTCCTCTTAATCTTGAAAAATATTTAGGAATCTAACTGATTTTTTTGTTTAACAAAATATACTACTTTAGTTAGTAAGTACATTATTGATAGATCAACCACATTGTACTTAATTTCTTAGCATGTACATGTACATCTACAATGATAAATCAACTCCCATCAGTACTTTCAGTATTTTGATTATGTGTATTATATCTCATCTCCCCACTGTCTCTCTCCTCTCTCTCCCTTCTCCCCACTGTCTCTCTCCTCACTCTCTCTCTTTTATCTCCCTCTCCCTCCCACACTCTCTCCTCGGAGTATGAGAAAGTTAATTACTTTCTCCCCACTCCACGAACTAGGAGTAGGGAGTCGAGGAGGCATAGGGCCGGTAAAATGAAAGGGAAAAAATTTTCCCTTGCGCTTTTTTCCCTAACCTATGTATCCCTCTCCCAGCTTACTTCTTTCGCACCACTATCTCCCTCCTTCTTACCCTCTCTTTCTTTCTTTCTTTTTTTTTTTTTTAATTTTTCTCCGTTTTCGTCGTAGAAAACCTTATATAAGGAAACTTTATTAAAATGTATTAGTTTTTTTAAGTCTGGCATTACTATTATCGCCAAAATTTACAGTACTGAATTGTTAAATTCAAACTAAATCTCAACCAACACTTTTTAATTATGATTCTAAACATTCTTGAAAAATTAATTTACCAAAGAAACATATATGTTGATTTATAATCACGAAATAAACCACAGAAATTTGCAACGCATACAAAACGTTTACTCTAAGAATAGAGCTATTGAACTACTAAATGTGCCATGGGCGCTTTCAATTCTTACTTATACACTGTAAGTGAATGTCAGATTTTCAGTTTAAAATTCTTTTGCTACTTTTATTGGTAATTAAGAAGACTTTGTACATGACATAAACCTACATGATTATTGACGTATAGGTTGCAAATTTTATTTTACTATAAATTAATTTACTGCAATATTTATGATGATATGACAATGAATATATATAACTACTAAATGATTCTCATTCCTTTTATCATTGGCTTGCACGACATGTATGTACATGTGTCACTAGTATTTGGTTTACTTTACTGACGATTTGGTGTTCACTGAATCGTCTTCGGTGTAACACTGCCTCCTCTACGGGATCTTTCTGAATGGGGTGACTATATTGGTTGGTTATTGGACCAATCATTTATAGAGGGTTTTTTAATACCAAGTCATTCTGTTAAGTATTGAAGTTAATAAAGCGGGGTTAACTTTTTTAACGTTTTACGGTAGATTCAGAAGAGAAAAATAAAGTCGGTGGGTATGTGATGTAGTTGCTGGGGAGAGGGGGTGAAGGAGGCAGTTTCATTCAGTCGCAATGAAAATTTCATGAAACTAAGACTGTATTTTATTATATTCTAAAAATATGAATTATCTGCACTGTATAAAGATTATAGAACAGATGATATACTATCAAAATCACCTTGATATCCGAAGCAAATGCAATTTCTAATAACATTCTTTACCGCTATAAATATAATTTATAGAAAGGTAATGTGTCGGATTTCAAGGTGATTTTTTGATCAGGAACGTGTAGATGAAGTATAGAAAGAGATAAAAAAAGAAAGAAAATTATATTAAAATTACAATCAATACAAAAATATCATAGAAATGGGGTGCAGCGTTAAAGTAGGGTTCTGGCCACGAACACCTGGGGAATACAGGCCTAGAGATGGCAATTACGACAACCTCGCCTCTGCTTCCTGGTTTCGAATCAATTTTTCAGTTAGTATCGAATTCACTTTATTGTGACACGATATCGGTGTTTTTCAGTAAATTCAGTAAACACTGAAGCTGCAGAACTGTATCGTTATGGTTCTATACATTAGTCTTTGACCATAACGCTACAGATTTCGTTATGCAAAAATTGTGCAATTTAAGGCGCAAGATTTTCTGCGCAAAGTTGGGGAGAAATTCTCCACTTTCTAGCACTGATCAATCAACTGCATTTACTCCCTAATTTTAGAGATTTTTAAATCAAACTGTATATTTTTTTTCCACCTTATTACCCTTGGCAATCGTCTCTACAGACCAATAAACTCTCGTTTTGAATTTTCTGCCATCCAACAAAAATTCAAAACAAGTGATTTAATTGGTCTATAGAGACAACCATACATGGTCAGGAGGTCGATAAAATATACAGGTTGGTTGAAAAATATGTCTAGAATTAGGGAGCAAAAGGTAGCTGATTGACCAAATCTGGAAAATGGAAAAATTCTTCCCAATCGAGCGCAGAAAATCTTGAGCCGTTAATTGCACCATTTTTATATTACGGTATCTGTAGCGTTACGATCAAAGACTACATAAACACTGCAAAATGTATACATGTAAATTCAACTAAATGTATTGACATTTTTTAAAATTTATTCAATAAAACTGTAAAATAACACAATATATACTGGGAAATCTAAAAGCCCATAATCAATACATTGGCAATAAATTCAGCTACAAATCAGAATTTATTATATAAATCACAAGATTAAATCTATAAATATCTTTCGTTTCATGAAATGGCCATACAACCAGCAAAATACGGAATTCCCTGACCATAAGACATCTTAAGATGCCAGAGCATTTATCATTTTTTGTATATAAATTGCAAGTATTTTATGTTTACAGAAACATATGCTTAAAGCAAACAAGCATATAAGGGATTGTTGCTATCAACTTAATGGATATAACAAATCACGTTCATAACAGAATTAACAATTCTCTGTCCTACTGTAAAAATGCTTTACTTAAAGTACCCTTTCATGAAATACTTTGTGTAAAGTCAACACCCAAGCTGTATACATGCAAATCGATTCTCCTTTCTTGCTAAATACTGAATGCAGATTTTTACAGTGCATTTTGGTATTTGCATTGTACCAGATTGGTTTTAATACAAATGACTATCAAATACATTTTCTTTGCATGCCGATTCTCAAACTCTTAATCATTTTAAATAAACATATTATACATAACTGTTTTCATACATGTAAATACTGTATTTCCAATTGGCAGTTTCTACATACGTCTACATGTATATGTAAAGCACTTGTTATTTTCCCTTTTTTTCTTTTACTATTTTTTTTCTTTATAATAAAGAAAAATATACACAATTTATGATGCAATGTACAGGTACATACCCCAGTATTTGAAAAAATAAATAAACCAAGCATTTTAAGCAAATTAAACTTTGGGGGAGGGGGGATCAGATTTCTGCATACATAGAGCAAGGTATTTTTTCCACTTATTTTTCTTATAGCTTAATGACTTTTAATATTATGTAATATAATTGCTTTTAAATGCATGCAGGTGCATATTAATAAAAAAAGGTTTTGATGAAATATGATTTCAATATCTATTTTTTTGTAATCCATCACAGTTTGATTAATTAAAAACAAGAAAATTATATCAAAGATACATCAAATATATGAATGTTCTACATAGAGGAATAGCTAAAGATTATCACAACACAGATACAATTCCAGAGGTATTTTCGTCATGTTCAAAAGGCTTACACGGGAAAAATACTTGTATGTAGAACTATCCACTTTCCTTAATCTATGATATTTCTATCTATAATATCTGAATTATGCATAGGGATTTTTCGCTGTTCCAATGAAATATGTCCTAGTAATTAATCTAATACTGTACTGATCTAGACAAAAATGAAAAAAACAAAAAACAAAAAAACAAATGCCCTCAAAATTTCAAAAATCTCACAACTGACATTTGCATATTAATTCAATTAATACTTTGAAATTATGCAGGTATTTAGAGAAGCCCTTAAAAAACTTTTATACTGTAAATTATGCTGATGTTAAGAAAAGGCACCTGTTACATCTAATACTTCTTTATACAATTTTATAATCAACCTGGACTGTTGCAAAGTGAGTATAAATAAAGCAGTAGGTTAGGTTAGTGAAGACAGATGGTGGAACACTGTTCTTCAAGCACTAATAAATGGCAGCACAAGATTTCCTTGGAATATCAGTTTTTCCCCCACAGTCAGTCTGTTTTTATTATGCCTTCTCATTCAAACTCCACAATAACATCACCTTCATCCACTGTTTGGCCTTGTTTAAAATTCACTTTCTTGACCTAAAATCAATAACCAACAACATTTTAAAACTTTCTCCTCTTTGTGTAAACTTACATTTGTTAATCATTATTTTAAACTTTTGAGAGAGAAATAAATATACAATCAAACAGTGTTACAGTGTATCTCACACGCAATGACACCAGGATAAAACTTTTGAGATATCCAAAGACATGGAGATATTGAGGTTAAGAGACTTAAAATCATTTTGACATATCCATTGTATTCAAGAAATTGGTATTCAAGATAGGGAAGCTCAAGTGTGTATTGAAATTATAATCAGTAGCAATGATAATGATTTACTTTAGCAATCCTGGCTGATGTAAGACTGTTCTGCATCTTCATGGCTTCCAGCACACACACTTCCTGGCCCTCAGCCACCTGAAGCAAAAAATATCAAATCTCAAAAATCTACAACTAGGGACTTGTAGCTTTTTTAGAATGCATGTTCATGCTGTTTAACAAGACCACTTCAAAGCACAGCATCCCTTTGCAAAAAAAGCATATTGGTCCCAATGTAAACTATTCCTTTCATTATGCACAAACTCACTCACCCACACACTCACAAAGGTGTTACTATATCCCCTCCAATTTCGTTATGACGAGATAATGAATTTAAACCTTATTGGTATCTTTAAAACTTCAAAGATGTGCTCTAGATACAACTCAGTGAAGTAAATAACATACCATATCCCCTGGTTTAACGTCTACAGATTTGAGGACCCCTGGCATGGGGGCGAGGACTAGTGAGGACATGTCCACTTCCTGTTTGACAGGCATCAGTTTAGACATCTGACTAGCGAACTCCTCCAAGACCTTCAGCTGGTACTGTAAGCACAATTTTCAACACTCTGTACAAGTTTTTCTACTTTTAAGTTTTAAACAAGAGGCCCATGGGCCACATCGCTCACCTGAGCACTGTGGCTAGGGAAAAGTAGAAATTGGTTTATTATTGAAAAGTTTAAATCCAAAAGTAAACCTTTGAACTGTTATGGCTTTGCTATTCTTGAGAAGAAGATTTTTAAAGAATTTTCCAATATATTTCTATGTAAAACTTTGGTCGGCCATTGTGGCCCCGCCCTACCCCCGGGGGTCATGATTTGAACAAACTTGAATTGACACTACCTGAGGATGCTTCCATATAAATATGATCAATTATGGCTTTGTTATTCTTGAGAAGAAGATTTTTAAAGAATTTTCCTATATATTTCTATGTAAAACTTTGGTCCGCCATTGTGGCCCCGCCTTACCCCCGGGGGTCATGATTTGAACAAATATGAATCGACACTACCTGAGGATGCTTCCATATAAATATGATCAATCATGGCTTTGTTAGTCTTGAGAAGAGGATTTTTAAAGAATTTTCCTATATATTTCTATGTAAAACTTTGGTCGGCCATTTTGGCCCCGCCCTACCCCCGGGGGTCATGATTTGAACAAACTTGAATCTACACTACCTGAGGATGTTTCCCCATAAGTTTCATCTTTCCTGGAGCAGTGGTTCTTGAGGAGAAGATTTTTAATATATGCCATCAAATTTTCATTAATTCCCAATTATCTCCCCTTGAATGAGGGCGTAGTCCTTCATTTGAACAAATTTGAATCCCCTTCACCTAAGGATGCTTTGTGGCAAGTCTGGTTGAAATTGGCCCAGCGGTTCTTGAGAAGAAGTCGAAAATGTGAAAAATTTACAGACAGACGGACAGCTAGACAGACAGACGGACAGACAGACAGCTAGACAGACGGACGCCGGACAAAATGTGATCAGAAAAGCTCACTTGAGCCTTCAGCTCAGGTGAGCTAAAAATAGGCTTTCAACTGAATTTTAAAGAAATACTGTGAGTTTGTCACTGCAGTGCTGTATACAGGGAAATTTTCAGTTCACCATTTTCTTTGGCTATCATCGGCAAAACACTGACCTTTGATAGATATTAAATTTGTTTACAGTTGTTCTTTGCCAGTTTTTAGTTTATACATACCACTGTTCCAAAAAATCTAAGTTTGTATAGTCCTGCTCCTATTCTCTTTGATAACTGCAAAGAAAATTTTGAATAAAGAGCTGTATTCCAGTACACATGCACAATGGATGCTCTCATTTTGAAATTTAGAATTACATTTTTCTAACCCTCTTTTCTATCTCTTCTAAAATTTGCTTTAATATTCAACAGGTTCAACTCACCTGGAAAAGTTTACTCTCTCCATTGATAGCCATCTTGATGAGGGGTGAGGAGACATCAATGTCAAATGGGATAGTCATTGTTTTATCTTGAGCCACAACCTTAGGCCATGCAAAGTTAATTACTTGGTTCTCAGGCCTTTTTTCAAGAAATATGATGAGGGAGTGAGGCATTTTTTTTTCTTTTTTATTGCCCCCAAACCATGATGAGGCAGCTTTTTACATTGTACAAAACCTCAAAAAATGATGAGGGAGGTGATTTGGTGTTTATATTTTATTGATTTAGCAATAAAAAGGGTCAATGAGGCACCCTTGGAAGAGATGAGGGAGGGCCTGAGAACCAAGAAATTAATTTTTTTTTGCCTTAATTAAAGAAGTATAAAACATCCATCACAAACAGCACAAATCTTTATCAAGATGAAAAACTAGGTATACATATAGCTTTACGATGGCCAATTTTTTGGAAATTCAATAAATCTTTCCATGGCCAAAATATACCTATACTTGATTATGAATATCCTTATAAAATACTCACAGTGACATCATTTCCAGCCAGGCTAACTTGCAATGGATAACTCTCTTCATTCAATAAAACATTCAGAGACCAGCTGCTGGGCAAGTTTTTGGCAAGAGGGATTCTGAATAGGGAGATGTCAAGGGTTTTACATGTACGTGAAGCATGGAGGCCAAATGTAATAACAGGAAGAAAAGTTATCAAACCAAAAATCTTGATCAACCATTAAAAATATTTTAATGCAAAGCTTGAATAGTAACTGCAGATTCACCAAAATGCTTTTAAGAAAACAGTGAAACCTGTCTGCAATGCGAGACAAATTTTGTGTTGGAATAGACAGGTCCGTGCCAGATTGCACAGTGTAAAAAACATGAAAATTAGTAAAATAGGAAAGAAATTTTATATTGGAATTCACAGAATGATGGACTTCATGGATGTTGGATTAGACAGTTTTCACTGTATTTTTGTCTAAAACAAGAGTATCCCATTGAGGCTAATACATCATGAAGAATAATGGATGCCAAGATGAGAGATAGGTGCCTTTTCTTGAATCAATACCTGTTCTGATTTTTGAAACTGGTAGATACAATTTTATCTTTGATGTACATTACTGCTGCCATAGTGGCCAGTTCCATACTCTCAGAGGGTGACAAAGTTCTACCTGCACAGAAAAATGAACATATTTATATATGATTAGATATTGAAAACTTTTTCATGCATAATTACTGTATGTTAAATTTACATTGTATTTTTCCAAATCCATGTACATTTCAATGGTAACACACTGTAATGTCTTTGTTCCAAGTATCACTTCACACAATACATTCAAGATAATACAGCTTACATGTATTACCACTGATACAGAAAAATACATTTACATTGTCTGTTTTAGCTCTGCTCCAATTTTGTATTGTTCAATAGACTTTTCAGCTTGAATACTGTTTGTTACAAATGATACCCAGTTTCAAGATACAAATGAGACCCCTTGTTATAAAGTTCCGAATTTGTTAGAAGTAACTTGAGGTTGCTGACCTTTAAATCCATCTGGGTATACAGTAGGGAGATAACTGGTGCTGATATCCCCCGCCACAAACCGCTTCTCCGTAACTATGTCTCTCAACAGGGGAATATTGTGTGTCACACCTACATAGAAACAGAAAGCAAAGGTATGTCAGGCAAGAATAGAAAGGAGCACAATTCATTAACAACCTCTACTTTATGGTTAAGATTAAATGACAAATGTTTATTAAATAACTGAAAATTCATTCTCTAGTTTGGACCACATATTTGTAGATCTGTAGCAATATCTGTTTTTCAAAGTATTTTGAAATGGCGCCCATATCAAATTCATTTTTTTCAGAACAGTGAGCTATAGATATTGTATGTCTTATATGAATCCACAACACCAGTCTAGAGAAAGTTGACCATCTATGACAAAGTCCATCACATGTAGTATGTTACACATGTATTTATCTCAATCATTAGATGTGCAATTCATTTAAAGGAAATATGATCACAATGAATTGTGTTAGAGAATGGAAACTAAACCTTTAATGACGTAAGAGTCCAAAGCCTTGACCATCACATCTAGGGCTTCCTGTCTGTTGCTTCCATATGTCACCAGCTGAAGATTAATTTTTAGTTAATCAGTTTTTAAAATACTGTTAACTTTGTCTGAAAATTTGTCACTTGAGGCAAATGAAATTTTATTCATGGTACCCAAAAAATCTGTTTGATAACTGGAATTCTTACCTTGCAAATCATTGGGTCATAGTAAACACTGATTTCACTACCTTCCTTAATACCACTATCACATCGAACCTATTGAAAGAAATGCCGTATAAAAGTGTGCCTCTTTATAATAGAAGCACTGAAATAATTTTTTATATATATATATATCATGCAAACAAGCCTACTTTATAGAGTCTCACTAATTCCTTTATAGCAAAATTTTTTTCTGCCAATTAAAAATTGTTTAATATGTATTGATCCTCTTACAAACATGTATGTAAAAAGATTGTCTAACAAAATATGTACATCTTCCACTTTTTTCTAGAAAAGGTATAATACTAACCTGATCAATATGAGATGGTTCAATGTATTTCTCCAGTCGACCAATGGAGGGCATACCAAAACTCTTGTAAGGATCCTGGGTACAGTCAAACAAGATTTCAGTATTTTAATGCTTCTTATACTTTTCAAATTACAATTCAATAGAACATTCTTTATGAACTTTTTTCTATTCAACTCTAGAGTGTCATTTTACCATATGCTATATGTATGAACACAAAAGTTATTTCTATTGAACCACGGTAAATATATACGTACCTCCGCATACACTCTACACTCAAACGCCCAGCCATCTATTGGAATATCAGACTGGGAATAGAGCAACTTATGACCTGAAATACAAAGAATGCTAATTTTTTATCTTCAAGAACACAAGTGTCGTCCACTTGTCCTAAAACAATTTTTACTCATCCAAGACAAGTGGACAAGGTTTTTTGGGAGTTTTTTTTTTCTGTACTCAAATGTATGTATGCAGTTTTAGATGATTGAAAAGAATAACTCCTTTACTCCAACATTTTCATAAACCCAAAACATGTAATTTAAGACTTAACAAGACTTAACATATATAGTTCAATTCAAATTTTGCTATTCCAAACATGACAGGATTGTCAATATCTTCTGGATATTCAAGAGAGATATTGATGTAGAAATTTTGACAGTAATGAAGCACTCAAAACTGCCTGTTCAGGTTCACATACATTTTTTTTTTAGCTGTTTTTTTTTTTTTTACAAAAAATACAAGATTGAGAAGGCAAAATTGAACTGTAATGGTGTGAAACGAAGTGCATACCTCTAAGTTAAAAAATGAATAATCTGATAATATACATATGCCAATAATACAAACCTTTGGCAGAGCGAATCATTTGGTGAACAATATCGATCCCTGTGATACACTCTGTGATAGGATGTTCTACTTGAAGACGTGTGTTCATCTCGAGGAAATAAAAATTCTTCTGTGAATCCACTAGAAACTCCACAGTGCCTTTAATGAACAATTTTTATACTATTGGATTAAAATAATAACATTTATTTTTTTTTTGGGGGGGGGGATATTCAATATGTGACAATTTCAATGTTAAG